ATCGGATGCCTATTTCTTGCTTTCCTTCTCCCTCTTACTCACTCAAGCCTACAAGCCAAGATATATATATATATTTATGCCCATCGGGGCCCACGCTTCAAAATCTGTGTACAAGACAACATCCAAAAAATATATACAAGTCCAAGAAGAGCGCCTAGGATTCCACGTGCACCAACTCTCCCATCACCACATCCTCGTCCACCTATCTTCCCCTCCACTTCCTTCCTCCTCCTCATCACTCATAACAAGAAGCTCCAGCTCATCCAGTGCCGGAACGCCGATGGCACCCGCGCCCGGGCACATCTCATCCCTCTTCTTCTCCTCGGGATCCAATTCCCCTTCGGAATCCTCTACCAAAAACTCATCTGCATCATCCAAATACCTCTTCCACAATGCCCACTCAATCCAATGGCCTCTGAGTGCATAGAACTTGTCCCTTGTGTCCGAGAAATGGTCGCGATGTTTGATGGCCAATCGAAGACTGTCTTTCCCAAGGCAGCCATACCAAACTTGCATGTTGGCGACCTCGAAGGGATCCGTGGCATCGAGAGTTTCGGTACCCATCACATGAGCATTCCACAACTGGGCAACGTCCTTGTCAAGTCGCATACGCATCGCGATCCGTAGGGCCTCCGAGTTCACGTTCTTGAGGTTTCCTAGCTCGACCTCAGACGCCACCCATTCCTCCCTAAACTCCTCCTCGACGAAATCCGATGGCCATTCCGGAGCATCACCCTCATGAAAATCGTCAACCAAGTCATCGACGCGGCTTCTGAGGAAATCCACCTTTCCCTCTACCCTTTCCAAGCCTTCCTGGAAATCGTCCATCTTGTCGCAAAGTTTTTGTAGGAGGTCGATGACCTCACTGGACCCCTCGGATCCTGAACTTTCACCTTGTGGAAACACACACTTGTTCTTCTTTAATTTGCACCGTTCGCAAGTGCGCCCACGGTGAATGAAACATCTTACGTTGTCTGTCTTACAACGTCCACAATGCTCTATACAGAGCAAGTCAGCATAAGCGACAGGACCCTATGGAAGTCACTTACCGTTACCCTTATATTCTTTGTCGTCCGCCTGCATCTCAGGCTCGGTCTTCAATTTCTTCAAAGGCCTTCCCGACGGCCCCATGACCTCCTCTTTCCCACTGACCACCACCGCACTAGACTTGATCTTACGCTTTCTCGAAACATCTGCGGCCTCCAAATCGGTCACCTTGCCCTTACCCTTCCTATCCTTCCTCTGCTTTACCAATTTTCTCAACGCCTTCTCCTTCGGGGCCTTCTCCTGCTCGTCATCTCCGTCGGACCCGCTACCAACCCTGCTCCCCTCATTCCCATCTTCCTTCTCCTTCTCCGCCTCCGTGGCCTTGCTAGCTTCCACCAAAGCCTTGGCCTTGGCCTCACCTTCCAACTTCTTCTCTGTGGCCCTCCTTTCCTCCAAGGCCCTGGCCTCCTCTTCCAACCTCCGCTGCTCCGCGGCGGCCGCCTCTGCCTTTGCCTTAGCCTCTGCCTCCTCTTGCCGTTTCTTCTCCGCGGCCTCCCGCTCCTCCCTCTCCTTCCTTGCCTTGGCCTCCGCAACCTTCCTCTCCTGCCCCAATTTTTTCTCTCGCCGTTCCAACTCCAGAGCCCGCCTCTTTTCCTCCTTTTGTTTCTGCGCTTTCCAGGCCTCATGAGCCTCTGCAGCATCCTCCCTAGCCTTCTCCGTGGCATCCCGCTCGTCATAAAAGGCTTCCAGGTCTTCAGGCCGAATATCTTCGGGCGTCGGGGCAGGCTCGTACAGTTTGGGCGTCATGGAAACATGGTACTCGATGGTTGACGACATGACGAACGACGAGGACGAAATTCAGAAAATAGAGGAGATGGTGGTGGTAGAAAGCTAAGAGGTGAAAAGCCACGTGACCAACCTGAAAAAATTCCACGCGGTCACACCTGGCCATTGGGATCTGCGTCCTTGAGGGCAAGAACGCTAAGGGGGGGATACTGTAACGAGCATGCCGACGGAAACCCGACTTCCACTCAATCCAACAAACCACAGCCCGGAATCCTATGGATCCCGATTCCCAGTTTCTATTTCATATTCCATTTCATATTCCTTTTTATATTTCACTTCACCATTACAATTTATCAATAGCCCAACATCGGTAGCGAACATGTCATCGGACCCCATCAGCTACCGACCGGTAAAATACATCCTCCGACAACCCTAGAATGTAGACCACTCCGAGTAGGAACTAGATCGGACTCCTAACTAGTATATAAGCCTTAGAATTACACTGTAGATACTCAGTTCGAATATCAACTTGGTTCAGCCCAATCTCTCTCTCTCTGACTCTAAGTCTAACTCTCGTTCTCCAGTCCGCGGAACTCCGATCCGTTGGACTTATCTTTTACCTCATCTCTGCCACTCCGCGGACTTCCGTCTGTATCCATCTTAGGGCTTCGGCTCAGGGGTGATGTTGCTAATAGCTTCGCCTACGCCCGACGCATCCCACGGCATTCCACTACGTGCACTTACTGCCGCAATCCTATTGGCACAATCCTAACACCTATGCACCTGATGACAATGAGGATGAGGATGAAGAACAGGAGGAATCTAGAAATCAGGATGCACAGCCAATTGCTGGTATCATGGGTATACCCTATTCACAAGACATTGAAGAAGCATTGACAATGGAGAATATTGGGTTAAGCAGTACATCCCAAAAATTTTCCTCAGAGGTTATCTTAGATGGCCAGAAGCTAAATAAAGCTCATGCCCTTGCAACTCGATCAAAACACCATTATATACCAATATCAACAAACCGGCTGCAACATGTTGCTGGTGAGAGGAGATTCACACATTCACACACAAGTCCCATGACAATCATTGGTCACCAGTCTACATCCAGTGAGCCCAGCCTGATGCTGAGTGAGCCTATCACTACACTTGTCTATTGTGAGAAGAACATATTTCTAGCTGTTGCTGAAGTAGTTGATATTCACCTCAACTTGGACTCTCTAGAGAAGCTACCATTAGATCTTCTCAAAGAAGATACATCTACAGTAACATACCAAATTGTTGATCTCATTCCAACAACTCAGGATGATGACCCATCCCTTAAAAGTGACTGGCACTCTACTAGTCATCTTCAACCCACAATTTGTACTGTGCCAGGTCATCTCATTCAACCCATTAACCCCATACTGTCCACTGCAAAAGAAAAACCATTCTATTTGTTTAGCAGTGATGTACTCATAGTGAGTAGCACGGGTGCAGCGGGTTTAGGCGGGTTACGGGTAAGGGTCAAGCGGGTAGGGGTGCGGGTTTGCATCGCGGAATGTTTGGCAACCCGCCTACACCCGTGAACCCCTCAGTGCCCAGTATGGTTGTCTAAATTTGCTTCCGTCCGGTGTTCAACTGTACAGTCTTACTAACATCCACTTTTAAACAAAAAATAATCGAATACACAGATTAGCGACCACCTCAGATTTTCTCCATATGGATCCGGTGAATCCAAGCGACATCATTGACGGCAAGCGAAAGCGCCACCAGACCGAACGCAGCAAGGCGAGTGGGATCCAAGCTGCTGAAGGTTCTGATGATGCCTCTAGCATGACTGGACAGCCCAAAAAGAAAGCCAAACAGACATCTGCCGCAAAAAAGTTCGTTAAAAAGGTTATTCGGAAGCTTACTCCCGAAAAATCCTCTGCTGCTGAAACTTCTACTCGCCCTGCCACTCTGGCTCCTCCTGAAAATTCTTGTGCTCCCAGCAGCACGCAGGATATTGTCACTAATGTCAAAAATACGAGTGAGTTATATTCCTAGTATAGTACCAATGTATCACAGACCAATCATTATACAGGCTCCTTGGCATCTGTGAAGAGCATTGAACTTCCTGATTTGATCGAGGTTAATGACAGCGATGATGAGGAAGACACACCTTCAGTCACAGACACCGGTGCAGCTGAAGACAATGATGAATCGAAGCTTCGTATGTTCTTATTCTGATAGCATATCACATATTACTGATTATGTTCACAGAACGTGCACTGGCAACATGGAACGCACCGGTTTATGCCTTTTATTCGCCTATTCCCAGTATCGAATATCGTCAAGGCCGTAAATGCTACGTATGGACATGTCTTGCCAAGAATTGTCACCACGAGGTCAACCGCTTTCTCGACACGGCAGACGCTTCATCGACCAAGAATTTGCGCAATCATGTCAAGAAGTGCTGGGGGGAAGATGTTCTGAAAGCAGCAGATGCCGTCAAACATCTGCGTGATGCACGAAAGGTTGTCCAGACTCACCGTAACTCAGCTCAAAATGGTTCGATTACACAGGCATTCTCACGCGTTGAGGGAAAGGGCAGAGTCACGTATTCTCACCGTCAGCATACCAAACCTGAGGCCCGGTGAGCACAAGTCTATCCTTCAACTTCTTGTATGCTGACCATTCAATATAATAGTGCTGAGTTTGTTCGGTGGATCTCTGAGAGCTTACGCCCATTCGCAATTGCAAAGGATCGAGGCTTCAATTGCTTGATGAAAACAGGTCGCCCAGAATGCTATGTTCCTCATCCATCGACGATCTCTCGAGATGTCAAGACAGTGTTTGCAAAGTCGCGTAATCGCATTGCCAAGCTATTACAGGTGAGTCATATGGTATTTACGTGGAATAGAGCTAATAATGACGAACCAAGAACTATGATGGTCATTTGAGTTTTGCCACGGATGCCTGGACTTCACCGAATCACTGTCCATATGTTGCTGTTACGGTTCACTTTGAATATAAAGGTAAATCTATAAGCTTGTTGTTAGATTTTGTTGAGGTTGCAAAGGTACGATTAATTATACTCACCACATTGTACACCCAAGTAACGAAGTGCCATAGTCTCACACCGGTGCTAACCTGGCCGAAGCATTCGAGCAGATGCTAAACGAGTTTGGTATTGGTGAGAAGGTATGTGCTTTGCGAAAGATGAATAGGGATGAAACTCGCCTAACATAGAACATTAGATCCTGAGTATAACATGCGACAATGCAAGCAACAACGATACCATGATAGATGTTCTTGCTGAGAACATTCCCGCCTTTCCCGGAGAACAACACCGCACCCGATGCTTTGCTCACGTCATAAACCTTGTCGCGAAGAGCCTTTTGAACCAATTTGAGCCTCTCAAGAAGAAGAAAGAGGATGCAGTTAACAATATGGAACGTGATATCCTTGAACTGGCCAAGGGTTTGGAACAGGAGGATATGGAGATCCGTCAGGAAGAGGCTGAGGCTGCAACAGGTATCGCAGAGAAGGATGATACTGATGGCCTGATTGATGAGGTCGCGCTGTTAAGCATTGAGGAGCGGGAGAAACTGCAGGCTGAGACTCATGCTGTTCAAATGGCATTAGTTAAGGCATGTACCTAGAAATAAATTTAACATACCATGTCTCATCTCTCCACCTAGATTCGAAAACTTTCATTCAAAATAATCCATTCCAGCATGATACTTCTCCCTGAGTGGAAGAAATTTGTCGATGAGTTGAAGCTAGCCCAGAAGATGCTCCCACGCGATGTCTCGACCCGTTGGAACTCGACGTTCGATATGCTTGATGTAGCACTTGCATACAAGCCAGCCATAAAAGAGTTAACGGGTGATGATAATAGCGGAGTGACCGAGTATGAGCTATCGAGATCAGAGTGGACAGCGCTGGAAAACCTTTGTGACGTGTTAAAGGTGATTTTCCGTCACAATGTAACACTGTCACATCTTATTCTCGTACCACCAGGTTCTAAAAGATGCTACGCTATATTTCTCTCGTGCAACACCAAATCTCGCCACGGTGATACCTGCAATGGATCACATTGACCATGTCTTTGCGACCGCTTCCATCAACAAGGTCGGGCTATCACCTCCGGTTCGAGCAAGCCTTCTTGTCACAAAAAGGACCTTAAATTGGTACTACAGTATGACAGATGAATCGGATCTGTATCGCATAGCTATGGGTGAGCTATAATTGCATTATTTGTTCATTCCCTATGGCTAATATCCTCTCCTAGTTCTCCATCCCCGATACAAACTTGACTACTTCGTCGAAGCAAACTGGGAGGCGGGATGGATTGCAAATGCCCGAAGGCTGGTGCGAGAGGAATTCGAGTGCAAGTACAAAGGCTTGATGGATGATGTTATGGTTATAGAGGATGATGCTGAGGATGGCACACAGGTATGTCCTTTTCCAAGTCGTGTATATAGCTGATCACTCATGGCTACAGGCTCGTGCGTCGGATAACATCTTTGATAACCTGAGCAACATGAAGAAGCCCAAACGTGCTGATTTACGTGATGACTTGGATCGCTATCTCTCCACTGACACAGAGATTATGGATAATCCCCTGATGTGGTGGAAGGAGAAGCAGAGTATGTATCCCTGCCTCTCGAGGATGGCGTTAGATTATCTTTCTATCCCTGGTGTGTCACGCAATCTATTCTAGTTGATGTGATGGCTGATATGTACTCGCAGCTACTTCTGTGGATGTTGAGCGCACATTCAGCCGTGGATGCCTACTCATGTCGCACATTCGTAATAAGCTTACAGCTCAGACATCGCACGCACTCATGTGCTTGGGTCAATGGAGCCTTTACGGGTTCATTCACGATGCTGATATCCATGACGTTTCACTTCTCCCAGATTTGCCAGAGAGTGAGTGTCGTGCAGATGACGATTATTTGATGCCCGAAGGATGGGATAACATAATATAGGTCATGAGAATGTATATGTAGTTTGTTACAAAATTGAACAGCACTTACCTGCCAACCTGCCTGACCCTTGCATACCCGCCTGACCCGAACAAAACCCATACCCGTGACAGGGGTAGGGTCAGTAACGGGTAAGGGTATGGGTCGCCTCTTGTCAACCCGGGGGATACCCGTGCTATTCACTATGTACTCATGACATCAGCAAGCAGCCTGATAGGACAAATACATACTGGAGATATCAAGCGAATTCCTACAGTTGCACACACTCAATATTTTCCCTATCAAGAGAAATCAGGTATGTTATTCTCAAGTATATAATATATAATACATATACTGAGCTTTTTTTAGGAAATGCCTGTTTTCTGTGCTGCCCAGATTCATTCTTCCCTGGAGGTGTGAATCAACATGCTACAGGCACAATCTGCCCATTTTGCATACCATCAATCCCATTGGATCCCTTGAAGCCTCATAGCCTTCTTGCCCACATTGGAGCACACATCTTGAATGAATCAGATTTACCTTCAATGGAACCTTGTGGGCTTTGTGGTTCCCCATCATCTAGCTGTCAGTATTATTTGACAAGGAGTACTAAAGGGTCCACTCGGACCAAGATTGATTATCATACATCAAGGGGCTGTCGAAACCTAGCTGTCAGGTTTAATTACAGTGTTGCAAAGGTATCAAAGGAATCAGCACCTTGCTCTAATGTCCCGATTCGCTGTCCGATCTGTCCTCCAAATGCATTTGCAATCTGGAAGTACAATGCCAAATATCATTTTATCAATCAGCATCCCACAGTCCAATTAGATCAGTACAAAGATCTGTGGAACATCACAGAGTCAGAGATGAAGGCAATGAAAGAGGTCTGGAAAAACCGAACACAAATACCAAAAACGAGGGGTCCCAAAAAGAAGAAGGGTGGGCTTGGTACACTGGTAATGTCTAAAACTCACACAATTTCCCTTGTTCAAAGGTGTGTTCTTAATAGTATCAAACAACATTAGCATTGACATTTTGTAGGACATCCGATTTAATTTCAGGTGCTGGCAATAGGGACAGGGAGTCTGGTGAAAAGGATACATCCCCCCAAGGTGAAGAGAAAGATGAAATATCGAGCGTCCACAGCTTCAGTTCTGATTTGGGTGTTGTCCTCGATTTAGATCTGAACGAAATATCAGAACGCGAACCAACGCGAACAGAGACGGGCGTACCCAGAGTCAACGTTGGACTAGCGCCCGCACCCGCACCCATCACAGACCCATCCCCTGGCTCTGCATCCCTATCACTGTTCCTCGAACCCTCCTACAATACACTTGTCGGAGGGCAAGCGTCATCTTCCAGTTACAATGCAGTTCATTGCACCCTTCTTATCCACCCGCAAAGCTCCGAGTCATCTCACGCCCTCGAAAAGTCTATCCAACCCATTCCACAAGTTCCTGCCATGCTATCAGCTGGATGCTCTTCCCTTGCTTCTGATGAGCGCAATCCCGTCACAGAACATCAGCCGGATGATGTTGCCAACAGTACCAGAATACGACGATTAATGAGAAAGCGGAAGGCAATAGAGATGGGTCCATCTAGCAAATGCTTATGTGGTAATATGGTCCTAGAAGAGGAGCGCTCAGGGGCGGCAAAGTGTTCTTGGAAAAGCTGTGAAACAATCTGGGTGAGCATCACACTTATAAAGCTAAAAACTATACTCACAGTGCATCAAGTTCCATCTGGCGTGTCTTCAGGTGGAGTATGTGTCTTCCGGGTGGTCTTGCGGGGCATGTAGAAAAGGGAAGCGACGGATGAAGTAAAGGAAGCGAGTGCGTGATCGACCTGGGTCAGTTTTTCGAGTACTGCATTTATATCACAATGTTATAGACCACGCGATATAGTAGGAGTCCGGTCCACATAGATTCACATAGGTAAGGTGCTGCACGCAATAATATTTTGAATAATTGATCCTATGTGGTTGGTTAATACTTGTTGGAACCCTCTTGAGCCAAGTACGAAGTAAAACGATAGCTTTGCCTCACTTCTGCTGCTCGCTGTGGTCCCCGTCATGGTAAATGATCTCTTGTATCAGATCTTGTCGATTTCGGCAACGGACTTGTCCAGCAGATCTTGAAACTGCATGAGAATCAATGTATGGATGCGAAAGGACTGCAAAGAGTACGCACCACGTCGAGCTCAGCAGACCGCTTTCCGTTGCTCGTCTGATGGAGCTTGCAACACTGCATGCGTGATTCCTCCGCCTTAATTCCTGCGGTAGCGACGACCAGCTACTTGGCATTGAGCATCAGTTTGGGCATGGGAATCCTCAACGTCCGTGTATCCTACCTATGGGGCATGATGGTGTTGGTGTTGGTGTTGGTACCGATGGAAGGTATTTTTTGGCATCATGTATCGAAGCCTCGACATGCTTGAGGTTCTACTGCTTTCACCAGCCGGAATCAGCGAAACACTGAGACACTCACGTCAGAACGCGTTGATTTTGGGTCTCTTCTGCTAGGGCTCGGGAACGGGTCACGCTCATGAGTTGGTGTACATGGTTAACATGGGCCAAGCAAGTACGAAGCAGAAATGCGGTTTTATAACCAGACCCGCCGACTACTATACTCTAGTCGTTGTGAAGGATCTCCCTCTATTATCGAGAAATCCCCAACGTCTTCTTCATGTCCACTGAGATTTTGTCAATCTCGGCAACGGAACTATCGAGCAGATCTTGAAACTCAGCATACAGACAGGAAGGAGCTGCAAATAGTACACACCACTTCGAGTTCAACAGATCGCTTTTCATACTTGTCCTTCTTCGCGGTCGCCTGATAGAGCTTGTGCCATTGTACACACGCTTCCTTTCCTGCAGCAGCAACAGACGGCCGGATTGGCCAGGGATCGTCAACGTCCGTGTATCCTGTCTTTGGCATAATGGAAGGAATTTTAGCATCGTATGTGGCAGCTACAACGCGTTTGAGATTCTATTACTGTGATCAGCCTAAATCAACGAAACATAGAGACACTCACGTTCTCCTGGAATACCGTCACTACCACCTCATGCTCCGATGTCGCTACTACCTCTTCCAGTTTATGGTCTTGAACGTGGATGTTCGCCAGTAGGGTCCAGAATCGCGTGCAGAGGCGTCAACGAGGTTCAGTTTCAGTCATTCGGCTACAGACTTCATTCCTTCTGGCATTTATCGTGCTCGGCAATGTTGGCTGGGTTGGTGATGGTGAGTGGTTGATGGGAGCACGGAAGTCGAGAAGACGTCGATAAAGCCTGTTTGGCATAGTTTAGATGTTGGGTGAGAGATATTCGCGTTATGAGAGGCCGTATTGAAGGTTCGGCTGCCCTTATGACGAGGCGTCGAGACAAGGAGATACGAAGACGGAAAGGAGTTTGCATTTTGGGTTGGAGTGAAGGATTCGCCGGGTGATCGGTCCGATAACCGAGGCTTTTCACAACCACGATGGCACGGCCTACGCACTGTGAGTGTATATCCGTCTATACACTAATTCATACTCACCCTTTACAGTTCTGTCGATACCCCTTGGACAAACACACCCAACGCTACGTGCCCGAGTTGCCGATCTCCATGCCGCCCTCAACCTTCCTACGCCAGACTCTACACTGCTTGCAGGTCCTCAACGCGTGCACCTCACCCTCGGCGTCATGAACCTCACCCCCGAGTCTCTTCCAACTGCACTCGACCTCCTGAACCGCCTCCCGTCACTCCTCCCGCTCACAGACGTAGCCCCGACCGTTACCCTCGACAAGCTGGACGTCCTCAGAAGGGAATCTCGACGCCGTGCTCACGTTTTATGGGTTGGCCCGTCTCAACCTGAACCTTTATTCAGCCAAATCAACGAGATCTTCCGTCAAGAGGGCTTCATTACCGACACGCGTCCCCTCAAATTGCACATGACGCTCATGAACAGCACCTACAGAAGACCACGAACAAAACACCCTCTACCATTCGAATATGATGGTATCCTCAGGCAGGCAAGCGTGCTGGAGTGTTTTGGTGTGCAGGAGAGCGAGTACGCCGAGCTCCCGATGGCAGTCACGATGGGCTCGTACGCTGCGCCGAGAATTCATCTCTGTGAGATGGGAAGCTGGGACACGGACGGCGCGTATGTTAGCTGTGGAAGCGCGCCATTATCAACCAGTCCCCAGTTTTCCACCTAAATGTCAGCCTAACAACAAGCGCCCTTCAAACCTGCTTCTAACCATGCACTCTGGTGATCTCGGGCAACAAACGGGGATGGCGACGTCGATAGCGGCCCTCGGCGCGCTTGCAGGTCCGCTAATCTCTGGGGCGATCAATACAGCTACGGGTGTGTTTGAGGTGGTAGGATATTATGCAGGTATGAGTTTCCTTCCGCACTGATTATTTGAGGTCTTGCTGACAGCCACAAAACGCACAGGTAGCACCAACTTGCTCGCGGTGATATTGATGTTTGTTGTCCTAAACATGGTTGACATCATGACTAGAGTTATACATACACCCACGTACTACTTACTACTTTGTCGACTATGAATGCAGGAAACTGAAGCGTTTCCGATATCACTGTCTCCGGATCACTCGAAGGGACCTCAGGTCTAACAACAAGATATGACGAGACTGTAGCGAAGCTGTTGGAACTTTGCTTGATTGAATGTATAGTCGTCATAACATCATCACAATCTTACAATCCGCATCAGCGAGAAAAGAAACAAACTTTTCTAAACTGATACGTGGAAGATGCATAGTCGTACGTCTAGAGGTGAAAGAGCCTGGCTTGGAAGATAATTAGGACGATGAAGGCCAAGACTCGGAGAGTCTGAAAACCGATCGGCACTTTCAGAGTCCTGGCACTTCCAAGGAGTTGTAAGGAGGAGTTTTTATTCTGATCACTGTCCCTAAGAAGGAAACAAACCAGAATCCGTACTGCGTGCGTACTACCTACCTAATACACTACGCTACGATTCCGAACGAACATTGTGCCTCACTGATACAGCCGCGTCCCCGCAAGGTACGGCTTCTCAGCACTAGCGTCAACGCCGTGAGCAATGTTATAGATGCAAGTTACCATTATGAAGTCACCCCTTGATGCATATACATAGGGACTGCTTCTACTCGTTTCAACACTTCATATACATAGCGACCCAACCTCGGCGGTAGATCTGCATAGGTTAACAACGCGTGTAGTAGTTCCTTCGGCGATGAGGATTTACCACGAAAAGCGAGGTACAGTTTCCATATATCTGCTAAGAAACTGACCCGCAGATCTTGTAACGTTGCGTCAGGACAAGTGAATAGAGAACCTTAAGGCACGCCGGATCACTCGGTCCGAAGTGCAAGCTCAACTTCTCACGCAACATTATGTTGAACATCAACGTTCAACATGACGGGTTCACGCGCCCAGTCCGCCTCATTCGGGCTACCGGAGGTTAACTTCGAACATCTCTTTGGACTAGTTCCATCTCCTCTCGAGCAGGACCCTGATTCTGACATTCCTAAGCCAGACTCTTTGCCCATCACTTTCTTTGACAAACATTTGGATGACTCTTTAATTCTCAAGAAAGTCACGGTTCTACCCTCCCTCGTATCCACTCTCTCCGAAGCCCTGGATGACTACATTTCCACGTTTAATTCAAAGAACGAATCATTCTCTTCTCCCCGTCTTTATCTCAGCCCTGAGTTCTATGATTGCGTAGAACCTCCAAAAAATGCTGCCGACATCGCGGAAAGATATCGTCTTGGAGCACCTATTTTTCTACAAGCCGCCTCCATTCTGGTTATTCATCCAGATCAGCCTGACCTCAAGGCAGTGTTTTGGATGAATAAAGGACGTCCAGGGCCACCGGAAGGATTTCATTCACAAAAGCATTCCCTCAAGTATGATGCTCATACGAGAAAGGATATGCTTGAAAGGCTGGAACCTTGGAATCCGGACCAGAAGGCGCTTCTTCTGTCTATGTGGGACAATATCCCTGAACTGGCAATTTGGGACATATATGCGCTCCCCGGACAATATATTTTGGAGGATATGTCGCGTTTGGCTACTCTTGATGTCTTCCCTTGGAAGCACTGTGGCGTGTCGGGACACCGACAGTTTGCGGCTTCAACCCACGTATCGCGGCCGGACGTGTCGAAGTACCTCTGGGAAACTGCGTACGCGTCGTCTAGTGGCGTGGTCCCAGCTGGGGTCGATGCTGCTCATCCGCGTCGCAGCGAAAGGCTCAAGGGTCGACCATCTGCAAAGAGCTTACCTCAAGTTGCCCCAAAGAAAAAGTCCGCCCGTCCGTTACAAGTCAAAGAACCTGCCGCCCCAAAAATTGTTGTTCCCAAATCTGCACATGGGACGCAGAGATATAAAGCCAATGCTGCAGATTTCGTACAACGAGTATGCTTTCTTTCTTTCTTCGTGTAACTAACTAAACACTTGAATCCAGGCTTGGGCGCGCGCGGTCCACTCAGACTCGACCTTCATCATATTTGATTGCGGCAACTTTCTCAGAGTCGGTGTTCGACGGCGGAAAACTCAAACACTCTACATATCTGAGTTGGTTGACGTTCGAGATTGCTCTAATCCAACGTATGGAAAGCTTATGGTAGCGATCAATGTGGCAATCTTACATGATGTCATTGAACGTCTTCCACACATTGACCTGTCGCTAGCCAAAGGCAAGCGTCTGCATGCTGGCCAGTCCCGTAAACGGCCACGGGAGAATACCGAAGCAGCTGTTCCTGTTAGACGTTCTCGTCGTCGACTTGGAGAGGCAATCGACGAAGTCACATCAGAGGTAGGTAACACATCTAACACGACTTCTTCAAGCTGAACTCGACGCATAGGAGATAATAAATGAACTTCTGAATCGAAAAATTGCCCTGCTCTATTTGCAACACGGGAATTACCATTCTAGTTCGCCTTCATTCTTTAGAAGACCAAACAGCCTTGGTCGACAACGTTCGTATCGTTACGATGACTGCTTAACTCTTCTTCTTGGGAAGAAATTAGGTCAAGGCGCCATTGGGGAGGTATACGAGGCTCAAGTTGAGGTGGATATGCCCTCTGGACGTGTAGCGCACTATACAGAAAAGGTTATCGTCAAACTCGCGCTCTCGGGAGAACAGAAGGAGAGGTTACGTCATGAGTATTCGATATACCGACGTCTGCTATATGGGCCTGTACCCGTTGCAGCCGGGGATATCCCTATAGCTTTCGGATTTTTCGAAGACATCGAGTCCGATGCGGGAGCTCTAATTTTGAGCTACAATGGTCAATCATTGGCGTATCGTTCAGACCCGCCTGCCTCAGGAATCACTGTCTCTGAAGAAGAAAAGTGTGTTCAGATGATACAATTTCTATGCAGAGTCAAGACTAATGCATGTATCGCAGGGCTATATTACTCCGAATACTCGAGAGTATCCACGCAGCCGGCGTCGCTCATGGGGACATCCGAACGTGGAACATGGTCGCCGATGGGGAAGGAAAACTTTCTATAATTGACTTCGATAGGGCAAAGTTCAGGGGACACAAGTTACAAATGAAGGCTGAGCATGAGCGGTTGGAAGATCTATTAGATGGTGAGCCTATTGACGGCTTCTCCGTGACAAGCTATGAGGCATTGACAACAAGCGACGAGGCATCTTATTGATAATATACTTAGTATCTATTCCATAGTAAAGCGTCCATCATCTCTCTGTCCTCCTCAACTGCGGCATCCCACTGTCGTATCAGTTCCTTAAGGCTCGGGGAGGGACTGGGAATCCCGGTGGGTTTGGACGCGAATGCCTTTGGCCTCGATGTCTTCTCTACTCTCGAAGATGCGGCCTGGTGACCGCCGGTTTCATCTATCTTAGATAAGGACGGAGTAAGAACCTTGGATCGACTGCTCAGTCTCCATGGCCCTTCCGATCTTTCCTTTACAAGGCTATTCTTTCTTGCCGACAAGAGTCGATGGTCGCAAGCATTTTTCCAGCTAATCATGTGGATGTTCCACTGGCTCTTCTTTTCTCGCCCATTCCTTGTGACAAGAATATTCTCCGGAGTAAGGCTTCCGTGAGTGATCCTTATAGAGTGCATTGTTTGGACCGCTTTTTGAACCTGAGAACTATTATCCTTCAATAACTACATCGGATACGGCGATAGTGTCACTCACTAGACATCATTGGGAGTACGGTTTTTGAATTTTGCGGGAACCGAATCGCCACTATCCAAAAGCACGAGAACCGTACTGTCCCGGTGCTTGTAGAGTCCAAAATATTGGGGTATACCAAGGCTTTGAGCGATGGTTCCTATCTTCCGCAATTTGGTATACATATCGAATTCATTCCGAAGGCCGATTCTTTCTTGCCTAAGTCGACTGAACTTGATAACGATTCCCCGTACGGCAGTTTGACCATTGTCGACGTAACAATAATAGGAATGAGTGCTTTTCGAATAATGATCCATCACATGCACTTCCATTTCTGTGTCGTTCGGAGGACTTGCATTTGATCGTGTTACTGTCATACTGCTCGCTGGTCCCAAACGTTCGATATACGTTTTCCATGAAATCTTCAAGGAGTCTGCTTCTCGCAGTCGCTGGAAAAGCTGTTGCTCCTGATGAAGTATTGGTCACCAAAAATTCAGAGAGATATGATCGCACACTGCTCACCTCTGGAGTTAAAGTTATTTCGCTTCCTGAGCAATAGTCGTCGTTATCCTCATTGGCGTGGGCCGAAATCTCGGCTTTTGCTTCCTTTGGAGTCGTCGCAGACTCGGAAGGCTTCGGCGTCTTTGCGGTGTTTGGCGCCTTGTCTTGATATGGTTCTCCGCGGCCATATTCGAGTGTGTAAAGCTTGGGAAGGCGTGAGAGCGCTTTCAACCGTTTCGCACGAAGAATCACATCGTGGAGCGCCGCAATTTGTAGGCCAGTATGGATCTTGAAGTAACCTGCTGGGAGACTACTGGGGTCGTCTAGATCTATAAGCGGCGACAGGTAGAGACGTTGCAATTTTCGATCCCGTATGCCAATGAATTCTCGGCTCCCGGCATTCAAAACCATGAAAGTTGCATCGACGTTGACAGCTTCGGCCCATACCTGTTTCGCATATCAGACCTTATAACACAGAACAATGAGCAGAATTACAGGTACCTGTTGGATAATTTTCAACGCCTTTGTGAAGTCGCCTTTGTTAAACGAAAGCCTATGCCCAGAACCGTCATCGACACCTCCACTGGCTTCACATTCATCTTCACTATTGCCTCCCTCGACTTCATCTGATCCATCACCTAACTTTGGTTTCCTTTTGGTCCTCTTCGGTGTTTTTCTTTCACCACTTTTGAACTTCCATTCGCTTGTGTTTGGCGCGGAGGCTACAGAGAAATCGATATTAGATTTATCAAACCTGAACATACTTCTGTTGGAGACACCAGATTTGACGCCTTTGGCATCCTCCAAGATACCTCCATCCATGCCCGTTTTATGGCCCGTGACGGTGAACTGGAACCTGTTATTCGGCTTCTTGCAAAACCGTCCACCCGGACAACTCCGGATTGTAGGGCAGCGAACCCAAGGAAACTCTGATCCGGCCAAATGACTGATAGCCCGCATAACTCCTTCTCTCCCTGCGTTCATACTCTTGAACTCCCAGAACAGGAAGTCAGACAAGCCCATCTCAATGACGAGCTGAATATCACTGTCGAGACCTTTGGGAAGTTTGGCCTTTGCTATGGCATCTTTGTCAAGCGAGAGATATCCATCCGCCAGAGCGCAAGGCATCATGGATATAGGGTTATCACTGTATCGGAAAATGCTTGACCATTGATCAAGACCAGCGAATAGAGTCGAGGCAACCAGGGAGGAGAGCTTCTGTAGGTGACGATATTCGCGCTGAAGATCGGCCTCGGGGCCTATTGTGAAGCCTCCGTTTGCCCCCAAACGTAGGCGAACACGTTGTGGATAGAGATCATCGGAACCGGGCACTTGAGGTAGATTTCTAGTGCTTCCAGTCGAAGGGCGGAGCTTGGAGTCAACGACGCCAGCTAGTTGCTGGAGCATGTCCGGGAAAAGTACGACGTCTTTGAGAAGTAACTGGGAATGCATATGCATGTCGTACTGCGCAGGATCGCGGGTGCCCTCACTGCCCTCAAAACCCTCCGGTTTGATAAATTTAGGCCGATAGTTGAAGAGGAATTCCAGGGCTTGTAGGTCAACGTTAGTATTCGGAGTCAATAAACCAAGAGCCTGCTCACCGTCTTCTCCGGAGAACACATTTCTAGAAGGCGTGGACGCAGCGGAAGGGCCTGCCTGACGCTGACTACGGCGCGTTGATTTTGACATAGCGGGGTCGCGGGTAAGAGTAGAGAGTGGCTTGAATGGTTGTGTAGAACGCAAGGACAGAGAGTTTCGTCTGGCGATTTATACGTCACTGTAGCAACTCCCACAAGCCTTTAAAGTACATCGAGAGAACGCCCGTGAAATTTTCGTATCCACGTATACTCTGAGGAGACTGTTGTTCTTTGCAAAACCCTTATGCGAATCTGTGATCAGGTGTTATTAAAGCAAAGAGTTACTCACATGTGGGAGCGCCATTTAATGCAACAGAGTCCAGAGAGCTGCAGTGCCTCGAAGAAAACAATAGTCTCTATACCGGTCTATCCAGAGAAGGGAAGTCCTCAAAGCGCAAGTCAGCGGATCCGAGAAAAGAACAATGAGATCAACTGGACCAGAGGGATCAGGCCGCACGTCCACGATGGCGAGAAGGGCCGTAAAACGTGGGATAACGGTGACTGACGGCATCCCATTCATTTGCGTAGCGTGCGAAGCTTCGTCGTGATGATACCGGCGCCTGAGGTCATCATGTCCTAAATAGACCATACTAGGATAACATCAAGTTTCTAGCCCATGAATTAGCCCAGCATATGCAGAACGGAGCAGAACGGTGACAACAAATCACCGCGTTCAAGAGTATTAAGGCACTTGCAATGTATACCACGAGAAAGTGTCCCTACATGATGGAATTAACGCGCAGCACAGGGTAGTCGAGTCAAACTGACAAGGGTCGAGCGATAGCCAGTACGGACACTCCACGCACATTCCATATGACCGCAATCCCCTAGAAACGGCTGCAGCGGTAAATCTGCATTACATTGCACATTCCTGAAGTTCAGGAATCACGAAATAGTTAACAGAACTTGACAGGATCTAAGTATAGAGACAGAACTGAAATGAGCTAGTGGACAGTCCTCAAAAATGTCTGACGTGATGAAGAAAAGAGATCGGTGATCGATCCGATCGGCCCGCTTTCAGTGCTTTGATTGATTGTTGATCCCACCGGCGACTAGCCACTCTGCCTAAAGAAGTACAAAGCACTCTAGATGTTGCGGCGCACGGATATGGTCGATCATCTTTGGGATAATTAAATTGATCTCCATGGGTATGTTTTCCCTCTTGTTCGAGCAAAGCTTGCAAGTGACCGTAACGGTACAGTCTGTGCGGTCCATGTCTTCTGCCATGATATACAAGTTGAGGACTGACTGGCGAACTTTAATGGTCCGACTCAAATATATCCCTCAGCACCATCAATGAAGCCTGAACATGAAACCACATAGACACCACTCCCTTGACGCAGGGACACATTACGTTCTCAGGTGTACTGGAATGGTAGACTGGAATCCGGCGTTACGTACAGCGACGGTGGTGGGGGGAGAACCAAAAATGAGGACCATGCAATAATAACACTCGGGCGGATACTCAATCCTAGCCTTGAAGCGCTTGGTCCCTCACACCGTTAGGATCAATCCCAGCGACAAAGGTATCCCGGTATCATTTTCAGGAACGAGTAGGGGATAGCATCAATGGATGTGTTTTCACAAACGATGAACGAATCTGGGTCGTCCGCCTCGATATCTGATGCATCCGAGACGCAAGCCCAAAGGGAGGTGCTCAGACGCCGATCCACGATCCTGAAATATGAAGGTATACGATCCGTCGGATGCATGCAGGGAAACATAGTTATAGCTGCCAGAGAGTCGTTACACATGCTTTCAAGGGCGGATGAGAGGGAACTGGACAGCTGCATCGCGTAGGACTTCGGGAGCAGGCTTCAAGCATTGAAGCCTGGATGATGGTTGTAATGGTAGTTGGTGTACGTCAGGTCGCGGCTGTCTATCAATCTCCTCTTGAACGAAATCCGTATGCTGCGAGTGTTCGTAGTGCTGAGTTGGAGCTTACGCCTGAGGCAAGCTAAATAAGTACATGGTGGGAAGATTTGGACACTTTATCAGACTTGCGCTAGGAAAGTAGAAGCCAATCTTCCTTCTTCAAATCAGCCACGATGGAGATCTACCAAATGTGATCATGCCAGGCGCTGAAGTGTGTACAGATGGTGATGTGCTGACGGAATTTGGATAGCACTTGTTGGCAGATTTTATACACCAGTGGAAAGGGCAAGTGATGGCTGCGTCAATCTGGTAGCAGTGCGCTCAGAAAGAGAGGGAGAAACTATGGAGAGTGCCAGCGATACTGAGCAACATCCCAAAAGGACGGTAGCATCAAGGAGAGGGAAGGCAACATGACAGTAGCCTAAACGATTGCTGTCGATAACTTTGAGGTGTTGGTGTTGGTACGATAGAAGGCAGTTTAGCATCATAGATAGCAGCTCGGACGTGCCTGAAATTCTACTGCTTTCATCAGCCTAAATTAATGGAGAGCTGAGAACACTCACGTCCTCATCAAACACTGTCACGATGAGCATAGTCCCATCGCAAACCCAGACGGTGGCGAACTGCTCCAGTTTTTGACCTTGGACGGGGACGTTAGCCGGTAAGGCGGGTGCCCCACGTCCACAAGCACGAGCAGAGGTGTCAACGCTGTCCAGCCTCGATCATTCGACTACAGACTTCATTTTTCCCATGACTTTTCTTGCTTAGCGACGTCGGTTACCAGAGTTAGTGACTCATGGGTGCTGAAAGCCTGGTTTTGGGGAAGACGTCGACTGGGCTTTCTTGGCTTGGGTTCTACATTGTGGGAGGGGTACTCCGGCTGTCAAAGGGCGGATTAAAAATTTCGCTGCTAGTACAATGAGGAAGGGGAGACGTGAACGCAGGAGAGTCTGTATTTTGGATTGAGGATATACAGGTATTTCTCGTGTTCGGCGATGTGGTTTAAGGGAGGAAGTTGACTGGTTTTTTGGTGTAGGTCCGGTGTTGATAGAGGGGTACTCGCATTAGTAGAGGCCATGCTAAAAGTTTATTAGCTGCCCTTATGACGAGGTGTCAAGACAAGGAGATACGAAAACGGAAGAGAGTTTGCAGTTTCAAAGTTGGGTTGGAGAAATGAATTCGCCGGCTTATTCGGGACGATAACCGATCCTTTTTCACAACCACGATAGCAAGACCTACGCACTGTGAGTGTATGCGTCTACGCGCTAATCCCAGCTCACCATTTGCAGTTCTGTCGATACCCCTCGGTCAAACTCACCCGACTCTCCGCGCCCGAGTTGCTGATCTCCATGCCGCCCTCAACCTTCCTACACCAGACTCCACGCTGCTCGCAGGTCCTCAACGCATGCACCTCACCTTCAGCGTCATGAATCTCACTTCCGAGTCCTTTCCGATTGCACTTGACCTCCTGCACCGCCTCCCGACTCTCCTCCCGCTCACAGACGTAGCCCCGACCGTCACCCTCGACACATTCGACGTCCTCAGAAGGGAATCCCGCCGTCGCGTCCACGTCTTATGGATTGGCCCATCTCAACCCATGCCTTTGTTCAGCCAAATCAATGAGATCTTCCGCGAAGAGGGCTCCATAACTGACACGCGTCCCCTCAAGCTACACATGACACTCATGAACAGCACATACAGAAGACCTCGAACGAAACGCCCTCTACCATTCGAATATGATGGTATCCTCAGGCAGGCAGGCGTGCTGAAATGTTTTCGTGTGCAGGAGAACGAGTACGTTGAGCTCCCGATGGCAGTTACGATGGGCTCGTACGACGCACCCAGAGTTCATCTCTGTGAGATGGGAAGCTGGGACACGGACGGCGCGTATGTCAGCTGCGGCAGTGTGCCATTATCAACTAATCCAACGTCCGCATAGCCAGTCGACTGCCGATTTCATTTTCTCCTGACATTTATGGTCCTCGGCAACGTCGGTTGGGTTGGTGAGCGGTTGTTGGGAACCTGGTTTTAAGGAGGTCATCGACTGGGCCTTTTTGGCGTAGTTTCTTTGTTGTGGGAAGGATATTCGCGTTATGAGAGGCCTTATAGAAGGCTTGGCTGCCTTTACGACGAGGTGTCGGGACAGGGAGATACGAGAACGTAAAAAACAAGTCTGCATTTTGGCAGTGAAAAGATTCGCTGGCTACTCGGGCCGATAACCGAGGCCTTTTCACCGACCATGGTCTTCTCGCTGCTTACCTGATTCTCGCAAAGTTACTTAACACGACGTCCAGCACCTTTAATGACACCTTGGATACAGAAGAAACGGTAAAAAGACGACTACAATAACTATGAATAGGAGCCGTGCATGAAGAAGCCAGAGAGATAGCTGGCCATCATAAAGTCGGTCGCTCCTAGAACTCCCACATACGGAGTGGATGGACTGTGAATATTGGCATCTTGAGGCATATAGGTACGTCTCATTGTGCTTTTCGTTCCTTCGGCTTACCTCTGTCCCATGGGTACGAAGGATAACAGATTGCCTAGCCGCAAACTCGCACTGCTAGGACTGCGCTACCCCAGTATCGTTTTTGCAGAAGGCAGCAGCCGACCAAGGATTACGTCGCATGAGGCCTACGACGCAAAAGAGTTGTCGTCACCAGATGGCTCGTACGTACTGTTTAGTTCCCTCTCTTTCTTGTCGAACTCAACCGTCTCCATAGTCGTGGAATGGTATCCACCACATTTCAAAGATCTATACCCATCACAACGCCACCCTTACATCTCGATATACCTATCTCAACTGCATCCGTAACTAGGAGTCATGGCTTTGAAGCATTCTACTCTCTCCCCACCCGGTATTTCCGTCGTCTCTCCTGCCCAATATCAATCTTTCGCCATGCCAAACAACCCTACCATCCCTACCGGCAGGCCATCAGATCCCTTTGTGTTGTTGGAGATAGTGGCGGCTTTGCGAACTTCGAGACTGTCTGTGACGATCATCTTGCTACCTTCTGCTGCTGACACATTAGCGGCCCGCACTCCCCGTTTTGGGACCATGCACATCCCATGAACCTATCGTCCAAATTCCTTTCTCCCTGAATACCCCTGCAAACATACTGTCACACCTTCCCCGCACGAAACCAAGGATCAATATAGAGGCGGCACTCTCGCAGGGTGTATCTCAGATCAACAAGCGGTACACCAGGGGATACTCGGGAGCGATTCGCTCTTCTTGGATCTCCTTGCCGTTCACCAGGTTCAAACAGCTTACGGTAAGCATCTTTGCTTACACGAGGACCAGTCGATTGAAACCGTCGACTAGAGTTCTATTCATCGTCGTCTCTGCTATACAGGCCTTTTTCGAGGACATGTATTCCCCTCTGCACGGCTCTGTGGATAATGGCGTGCCTCGGTCCACCCCGTGAGGGTGGGGAAGATTGGGTAGGTGACTTCCGAGTATGTTCTTTTCCTGACATCTTCATGTATCGGTTAGGACGATCTTGCCTTCGAGACTTCGCGATCTCAACATTTTCTTGGTAGGCAATGTGAACGGCCGAAGTCAGTTTGAGATGATTCGCATGGATAGGAGGGAGGCAGTTGTATGGTGGTGTATCATCTTGGTACGGAGCCGGCTAAGCAGAGGTTGGTGTATCCTGCTTATTCTTCTTTGTTGTTGCGTTGACTTTCATCGATCTGTTGCAGATGTCTTACGTCGAGGGAGATATGACTTTTAAAACAAGATCTTTTTTGCCCCGCTGCAGTGGGTCACCACGACACCACCCTACACGGAAGGAGGCGCGAGCAATCTCCGGATACAAAGAACTGGATAAGCAAGTCGGCTCGAGTACGTTCCTTTCGATAATTCTCTTCCCTCGACTAACTGCTTTTCTGCAGACCCTCTTCTTCCTGTTTTTTGACTATACAATCGCTGCGATGTACGACGGTGTTATGGGCTGGACGAGAAGTTGCTACTGGTGATGTGTTCGGTTCGTCCTCGTTATCCGTGTTCAATGACAAGCAACGTATTTACAAGGCAGTAGATGGATGTTGCTAGCTTTACGGCGGCTCGATGGCGGCTATCTGAATAGTGCGCAGTCTTACGCAGTATCTTTTGGGTGCCTAAATCTGATGATGGACTAGTGGTGAGAAGTATGCCGGTGGTTTCACATCGCCGCGATTGATATTCATCTTCTTCGCACAGGTCCCGGATAATGGATGTAATACATATCCGCAATATCTGATCTTCGTACGTCCCGGTCCTCTAGCAAGGAACCTAGGCTAGGCTAACGCTGGAATGCAAATTTAGAGATTAAACGACGGGCGTCTGTTAGAGCTTTGTTGCACGCCGGTGAAGAATGATCATTGGAGAACGTATTGAACTGCCTTCGGCAAGGAAGTTACTTAGCAAGCACGTTTCGGAGGTATTGGAGAAATTAAGATCCACTGTTCATGAATTCAGTAAACTGGAGAGTATAGTCAACAATCACTCTATTTTTAATAGTACTTTTTTTCTCGTCTCCTTTGAAAGTTGGTCTTGAAGGTACTCTCCAGAACGTCAACCACCACAGGAACAGAGACCTTGTTTTGTGGGACCGTGCGGATTTGGAATTCCGTTCGCATCGTGTACTCGTGTACGTGAGATCATTGATTTTTTGCGAAGGTTGGTTGACATTTCTTCAGGAGTGAAGGTATATATCGAGCTACAGTAGTATCTCGGTGTATAAGACGACTTGGTGTCGAGACTTTGAGCACAGAATTCATTAATGTTCCTTTCAAACTCGGCGGATTCACAGGAGTGTGATTCATCGTTGATTCAATCATGATATGCAATCTGCCTTGTACGTATATCGCTGCGGAGGAGCGACAGGATGTATTTAATTGTGATTTCCGCGTAGGCGCTACGCTCTCCTGGCCCGGATCAATCTAGCTTCTACCACGTTATTTGCTCGCACGCTCGCATTGGCCTGGGGAATTCGAACTGCGACTTGCAACACCTGCATACCTCCACGCAAGCAGCTCCTCATTCTGTACTCCCTTGTATGCGTATCCGTTTCCCGAGAAAATGGGAAATAGTGCGTAAAGTAAATCTACTTCTGTTTCGAGTGCTCAGTCCGACAATTTTAGCCCTATCCACAATCGCAGGCAGATCTCTTTTGAGACGCGTCAAGTTGATTTGGAAAGGCCTATGCTCCAGCTTTACGGCTGCGAAGGATTCATTTCCCAATGGATCATCCAGATCTGACCAGAACCGCAATCCAATTCCACCCTCAGAGTCAGAGTCGCAAGAAGCGATACTAGATAGTAGCGACGGGTTCTTTGACTCTGATGAATTTCACGTACCAGTGAAAATGCCCGGGGTAAGTCGATTAGAAAGTTAAACAGAGGGCAAAATTGATAACATATTTCCAGGACATCGTTCTCCCCCAAGTCACCATCTCGGCCTTCACTGAGACCGGCATAGCGGAATCATCCATCAAGGTTCCATTGCAACGGGTTTACACCAGTCAAAAGCCCATAATATCATCCTGCCTTGCTGACACTCCCTGCGCTGACCTGGGCATCCAAGGTATCTTGGATCAACTCAACACCACCCTCGGAACGTCACATTCCCTTGATATTCCATCTCTTTCCTCCGTTCTTGAAGACTGCATCGCGAACAACTACGATTTTGGCACTGCATATTGTCATCTCCGCAGGGTATGGTACACCAGTGACTGGAGCACCATCAAAGATAAACTACGCAGAGATGAAAAGAAGGACCGGGAGAGGCGGGAAAAAGCGTTGGTAGGAAACCGGATCGTCAATCCACGGTTGCCACCTCGACGTGTCTGGGACTTGTACGGCAATCGTGTAGTGCCATGGTGGTACGCCGAGGAATGGCCAAAGCCAATATCGCATAGATGGATGGATGAGAAGGATCGCAATGATGTGTGGACTCCTATCAACGGATATGAATGGCCTGTGCCCATCCCGAAGGATGTCAGCCTCAACCTCATCCGAATTGAGATGCTGAATCTGGGAGCCGAGTACACGTGGCTGGATGTGCTTTGTTTGAGACAGATGGGTGGGCCAAAGGAGGAAATACGTGTGGAGGAGTGGAGGCTGGACGTGCCCACAATCGGAAGGGTGTATGATGGTGTCGGGGTGGTAATATACTTGAGTGGATTGGGCCGGCCTTTGAGTTTGAAGGAGTGCGACATGGACGATGATCGGAACTGGTTTAGGCGCGCATGGACACTGCAGGATGTCGGGATTAAAAGGATCATTGCCGGGGATACACCAGATGGACCGCTGCATGCAAAGCCAATAGACGACATAGGGAACTATGAGAGTGAGATACTCACAAGGTTTCACTGGCAGTTGAAGTCCTTGGAAGGTCTCACATCGGGTTACTCTGATACCATTGTCAATAATACGGGACAGTATGAGCCGAGGGAAATGCAATCTCCCGAACGCGCTCATGTTCAAAGACTCGGCGAAGTCAGAATCTCTGCATCTGACGAGACCAGGATCCCCGTATCATCGATTAAAATTCCATTGCAGCGTGAATACAGAGGCAGAAACCCTGTCATACAGCCTTCTCTGGCGAACACCCTTTGCGCTGATCTGGGAATCGATGGAGTCCTATATCAGCTCAACACCGCTCTTGGTACATCATACGAGATGTCCTCACCCCTCTCTCTGCTCCTGGAGTCCTGGAATAAAAACGGGTATGACTTTGGTACAGCATATGGTCACATCCGCCCGAGATGGTACACCAGCTTGATGTCCATTGAAAAGGACTTCCGCATCCTTGAGGAAGATGACCAGACAATGCGAAAAGATGCAGTCAGGGATAGTCGAACTGTCAAAGCACAGACGCCACCACGGCGTGTCTGGGATCTGTATAGTAACCGGGTGGTGCCTCAGTGGGTCATCCCCAAAAAGACAGCACCATGGGCAATCTCACACGCCTGGATGGATGAGAAGGATCGCGTCAAAGTGTGTACCCCTATCAACAGGAAGGAATGGCCAGTGCCCATTCCGAAGGATGCTGACCTCAACTTCATCCGAATTGAGATGCTGAACCTGGGAGCAGAATATGTGTGGGTGGATGTTCTCTGTTTGAGACAAGAAGATGGGGATGGGGAGGCTCAGCGGACGGACTCGGAATGGCCGCTGGATGTGCCCACTATCGGATATGTATATCGCTGGGCTAAGATGGTGGTGTACTACTTTAGTGGGCTAGGGAGGCTATTGGATGATACTGCAGGCAACGTGGAAAGTCGTCGGTGTTGGTTCAAGCGTGCATGGACACTGCAGGAGATCAGTCAGCATAGAATCTATGCTGGCACCACGGATGACTCCCTAACGTATGCCCAAGCGGTTGGCGAAAAAGACAGAGTCCGCAGCTTTCATGAGCAATTAGTGGCACTGAAGAAACTCGCACTTGAAGATAACAGCATCTTTAAATGGTGTAGGCACATGCAGACTCGGTCATCGGTCCATCCCACGGATAAGGTCGTAGGCCTGGCATTTCCACTGCGATCCCTCGTAATTCCAGCGTATGACGTGAACCGGTCTGACGAAGACACTTGGAAAATACTGGTGGAATCGATGGCGGAAGAGCTTAGGGGAGAAATATTCTTCTTGTGTCCTGAATGCCGTTCCATAGAGTTGGAGCCACGTACCGATGCCAATACCGACACAACAACATTAGAGGAAGGTCTGAAACACTCAAAATGGGCACCATCATGGAAACAAATCATGGATATGACACTTCTGTCAGCAGACAGCGTATCTCTGCGCGAACTCGTCATACGAAATGATAAGAAGGGAATCGAGGAGACTGGCGACTACCACGATGGTTTTTGCATTGAAAGTGCTAACGTGGAGGGACTGTTTTTAGGAGAGCCGACAAAACCTGATCGATATGGAAGGATGATTGTCATTGATCACACCGGGACAAGCCATGTACTCAATGTTGTTGCCATGCATCAGCATCCAATACCAGAAGGCCCATATACAACGATAGGAAGCCGGACTATGGAATATTGGGTAGTTGGTCGAAGGATACCCAAGCGACGGTTTGAGAAGGTGTCGGTAATCAGAATACCTAATAAGGATGAAAGAAAGCGATTGAAGGAACTGGGTGTCCATACAAACTCGAGGAACTATCTCATTTGATATGAACATAATTTCGCCAAAATTTGGCCTAGAAATATCCAGAGATTTCCCAAAACACCGAAGAGTGCAATTACAGTTGACCGTTGACGGAACTTTAAAGGGTGTCCTATCACATGACAACAAGGCGATGCCTAGCAGCAGTTTGGGGAACGGACGAATAAATCTTGTCTTCATATACATCCAACTGATTTCTGACTTGCTTGTACGTATCACTGCTGTGGTAAGCCAGCATTTTTTGGGGTCAAATACCTTTGTGTTTTTAGCTCCGTATTTGACTTGCAAATCCACCTGAGAAAATAGGGAGGGTCAGAGTTGTCGATTATGGATCGATTATGGCACCGATTATGAACACGATTATGGACCCATAACCGCGCCATAATCGACTTTTACTCTGACCACCCATGTATGAACACGTCAAACTGTAATAACTGTCAATCCATACGTTAGTATTACTTTGGCAGCAACCCTTTATGTAAAAGATTACGGATCCATAATCGATGTCCACAGCCGATTCCATAATCGACTTATAATCGACCCATAATCTGCAACTCTGACCCTCCCTAATATTGAACGAAAATCTGACCGTTTTTTGAATGAAATTTACCTAAGAGGATTTCGGGGGCAAATTCCGCTTAAAAAACGGTGCGTATTTGGATCCGTATTTGGAAGGAAGGTTTTGGCGTACAAAGACGGTTCGTATTTTATTTGCAAGTCAAATACGGAGCTAAAAACATAAAGGTATTTGACCCCCTCAAAATACCGGCTTACCATAGCAGTGTATATCCGGTGCTCTTTCATCTTGTATGCTCATTCTGTCTACTATGTTAGGCACACGTCGCGATCATGATGATCGCAGACACTCACGATAATATCAACATCGTTTCCCAGCTATCACCAAGTGAAAAACCGGATCTGACGCGAAGTATTCTTGAGGCAGAACAATCCAAGAAGCGGAAACGTGATGAGAGCAGGAAAATGGCTACATATCATGAAAACTCGATCAGCGCGCTCAAGGAGGCAGGTTGCAAAGAAGCCATTCAAGTTCCATTGCAACGGAAGTACTCTGGCCGAAAGCCGATCATATCTAACTCTCTTGCAAACACTCCCTGCGCCAGCCTAGGGGCTGACGAGGTCCTCCATCGTCTCAATACCCTCCTTGGAACACCGTACACGCTAACCACATCCTTATCCTCACTTTTGCAATCCTGCATCTCAGCCAATTACGATTTTGGTACTGCATACAGTCGCCTCCGCCCGGGATGGTTTACTGACTTGATGACCATCAAAGCTGTCCAACTCAAACTTGAAGCGGAGGACCAAGAAACGCGAAAGCATGTATCCACTAATAATCAAATTCGAGTTGCCATGCCGCCACGGCGCGTTTGGGATCTGTACAGCAACCGCATAGTGCTGTACTGCTTCATCCTGGAGGAGCCATGGGCAGTTGAGCATGATTGGGAGGATGAGAAGGACCTTGTTAGCGTGACGACTCCTATCAATGCAGGCGAATGGCCCGTACCGATACCAAAGGACACGAACCTAAACTTTATCCGGATTGAGCTACTCAATCTGGGCGCGGAGTATGTATGGCTGGATACTCTCTGCTTGAGACAGAAAGGCGGGAAGAGGGAAGATCTGCGCAAGGAAGAGTGGATCTCTGATGGGTCTACTATCGGAAACGTCTTTCGATGGTCTGAAGTGGTGGTACACTATTTGAATGGGCTAGGGAAGGTCTCCGATCGGACGTCTTTGAAGAGACGTCACCTCGACATCTGTGATCGCTCCTGGTTTCATTGTGCATGGACGTTACCAGAGGTCAACAATCATGACGTTGTTGCTGGTTATGTCCCGACGGATACTGAGCAGACTGAGCAGCTGGAGGTCGAATTGACCAACTCTCAGAAGCCACTTGCCGGGTATATGAATGATGGCCTGCAGGATGCTGAGCAGACTGAAGAGGAAAGCAGAGTTCGCGGTGTTAATCTGTTTGCCATGCTGGCAAGCATGCAGAACCGAGTGTCGATCAATCCTGTGGATAAAATTGCAGGACTGATATACCCTCTACGCTCGCATACCATACCAACATACTATGAGTCGGAGTCACTTGAGGAAGCTTGGACAACACTGGTGAATACCATACATGCCATGCATCGGGGACAATTACTCGCGTATCCTGAACCGGGGGATGCAGGTACAAAATGGAGACCATCATGGGACCAGGTCATGGCAAAGCCTTTGCCAGTGGATAGGTTCCATCCTTTAAGTGTTTATCAGGATGAGGAGATGGATGAAGACTTTTGTGATGAATTTTGCATTGAAAAGGTGTACGTACGAGGATTGGCCATGGTGGAAGGATTCCGACATGGAGAGTTAATCGCTAAAGACACAGCTGGGATAGAATATGTATTCAATGGCATCACTGCCTCCCACAGGTATCCGATACCCGAGGACACATACACGCTACTCATTCCCTCTCACCACACCATTCAATCGCCGCTATATTGTGTTGCCGGGAAACGACTGCCAGGGAAGAGATTTGTGAAAGTGTCGGTGTTCGAAATGCCCGACTCAGAGGAAGTAAAGAGGCTGGAGGAATTGGGCATTGCTGTAAAGGATCGTCATATTCTCGTTTGATATATACGCAAAAACATCTGATCATTTCGGAGTTCGGAGGAACTGACACTGGCCCGCAGTGCGCGCTGTGCATTTACGCATGTCTGGTACTTTCTGAGGAGTCTCCTGTCATACAATCAGCTTAGATCACTGCTTCAGCAGATCGTCGCAGTAAGAGGTAACGAAAATTATTCTCGCTTTGTAATATCCTTCACTTTTTATAGTAAGTTCGACTAACTCTAGGATGAACTCAGTCGCGATGACTTCATCTCATCACTAAAATCAACCTATTGTGATATGCGTGATAGTTACCAGAATCATACCGATAAGAGCTATGATAAGAGGGAAATTAGATATGGATAAGCTAATGAAAAACCCGCATCATAACATCAATTGAGTGTCTGACAAACAGTTTCATGGTAAGTGGACCCGTAGGAGAGGGGAAAGAAAGTCGCATATCATAGCTCAAGCTAAGGATGCAGTGTTTGGGGTCCTGTCTTGATATGGTTCTCCGCAGCCATATTCGAATGTGCAAATCTTGGAAAAGTGTGAAAGCGCTTTAAATCGCTTTGCACGCTAGATTGCATCACGGAGTGCTGCAATCTGTAGGCCAGCATGAATTTCGAAGCAGCCTTTTGGGAGACTACTCGGGTCATCTAAATCTATCGGCGGCGACAGGTAGAGATGTTGTAATTTTCGATCCCGTATGCCACTCTCGACTCCCAGCATTCAAAACATAAATGTTGAACCAATGCTGACAGCTTGTTTATCAGCTCTGATAATACAGAATAATAAGCAGAATCACAGGTACCTGTTGGATAATTTTCAACGCCTTCGTAAAGCCACCCTCGTTACATGGTAGCCTATGCGCAGAGTCGTCCTTAGCACCTTCTTCGTCTTTAGTATCACCTCCTTCAACATCACCAGGACCGTTATCCGATGTTGATCTCTTCTTGGTCGCTTTTCGTGTTTTTTTCTTCCACCACGTTTGAACTTCCGCCCGCTCATGTTTGGCGTAGAAGCTACGAAGAAATCGATATTAGATGTATCAAACCTGAGTGCGCTTCTGTTGGAAACACCAGATTCGACGCCTTTGGCGTTCCAAGATTCCTTCATCCACACCTATTTTATGTCCCGTGAGGGTGAACTGGAACCTGTCATTTCGTTTCTTGCAAAACCGCCCATTACAACTCTGGGATGTAGGGCAGCGAACCCGAGGAAACTTCGAGTCGGCCAAATGGCTGATAGCCCGCATAACTCTTCCGCTCCCTGCATTCATGCTTTTGAACTCTCAGAACAGGAAGTCGGATAAGCCCACCTCGATGACAAGCCGAATACCGCCGTCAAGGTCGTTGGGAAGCCCGGCCTTTGCTATGATATCTTTATTAAGCAAGAGATATCCACCTGCAAGAGCGTAAGGCATCACTAATATAGGTTTTTCACTGTACTGGAAGATGCTTGACCATTGATCAAGATCGGCGACTAGGGTGGAGGCGACGAGAGATGAAAGCTTCTGTAGGTTACGGCAATCGCGCTGGAGGTCAGCCTCGGGGCCTATTGTGAAGCCTGAAGTCGCATTCAAAACTTCGTGAACACGACGTCGATGCAGATCATGACCATCCGGAACCTGAGATAGGCTTCTGGTGTTCCCAGTCGAAAGGTAGAGCTTGGAGTTGACGACATCAGCTAGATGCTCGAGCATATTGGGGAAAAATATGATGTCCTTGAGAATAAGTTGGGGATGCAGATGCATGTCGTATTGCGCAGTACTGCGAGTCCCATCACTACCCTCAAAATCTGCCGGTTTTGAAGCCAATAGTTGAAGAGGAATTCCAGGGCTTGTGGTTCAACGTCGGTATTCGGAGCGAATAGACCAGAAGGCTGCTAGGGCTTGGAAAGGGCCATGACCTTGACGAGTTGGTGTGGACGTGTAACATGGGCGGAGTAAGTACGAGGCACAAAAGTGGTGTTATAACCACTACTATACGTCACCGGGAAACCCCCAACGCTTTCTTCGCGTCCACTAAGATCTCAATCTCGGCAACGGACCTGTCTTGAAACTCAGCATACGGATAGGAAGGAGCTGTGGAGAGTACGCACCACTTAGAGCTCAACGGATCACTTTTCGGACTTGCTCTTCTTCACGCTCGTCTGATGGAGTTCGAGGCATTGTACACACGCTTTCTTTCTTGCAGTAGCAACAGACAGCGTCGGGCTCGGGCAGGGATCCTCAACGTCCGTGTATCCTGTCTTTGGGCATGATGGAAGGGATTTTGGCATCGTATGTGGCAGCTACAACGTGTTTGAGATTCTACTATTGTGATCAGCCAAAATCAACGAAACATAGAGACACTCACGTCCTCCTGGAATATCGTCGCTGCAAACATGCTACCATCTCCAACTTCGACTGTAGTTACTACTTCTTCCAGTTTGTGACCTTGGGCAGACATTTGCCAGTAGGGTTCCAGAAGCGCGTTCAACGTGCTTCAGTCTCAGTCATTCGACTACAGACTTGATTTTGTCCTGACTTTTTCGCGCCCAGCGACGTCGGTTACTTAAGTGACTCGTGGGCACTGGAAGCCTGGTTTTAGGGAAGACACAGACTGGGTTTTCTTGGCTTGAGTTCGTTTGTGAGAGGGGTATGCCGGCTGTTAGGGGGTGGATTGAGGTTTTGGCCGCTCGTACGACGGGGGAAGGCGTTGACTGCGCTTCTTTGGCATAATTTCGTCGTTCAGTGAGGGTTATTCGTGTTATCAAAGGGCAGATTCAGGAATTTGCTGCTCTCGTCCAAGCCGTTGGACCGCCGACTTCAGCATTTCTCGTGTTCGGCGATGTCAGTTGGATTGGTGAGTGGTCGTTGGGAACCTGGTTTGAGGGAAGACGTTGACTGGGCATTTGTGGCGTAGGTTCGACATTGGGAAAAGGGTACTTGTATTGAAAGGGGAAGAATTGAGGGTTTTTCTGCCCTTATGACGAGGTCACGGTGTCGGAACAAGGAGATACGAACGGAAGAGAGTTTGCATTTTGGGCAAGTTGTCAGGATTCACCGGCTTTTCGGGACGATAGCCGAGGCTCTTTCTCAAACTACGATGGCACGACCCACGCACTGTGAGTGTATGTGTCTACGCGCTAATCCCAACTCACCCTTTGCAGTTCTGTCAATTCCCCTCGGCCAAACACATCCGACCCTCCGCGCCCGAGTTGCCGATTTTCATGCCGCCCTCAACCTTCCTACACCAGACTCCACGCTGCTTGCTGGTCCTCAACGTGTGCACCTCACGCTTGGCGTTATGAATCTCACTTCCGAGACCCTTCCGATTGCACTTGATCTCCTGCACCGCCTACCAACTCTCCTTCCGCTCACAGACGTAGCCCCGACCGTCACCCTCGACACTCTTGACGTCCTCAGAAGGGAATCCCGCCGTCGCGCCCATGTCTTATGGATTGGCCCGTCTCAACCCATGCCTTTGTTCAGCCAAATCAATGAGCTCTTCCGCAAAGAAGGCTTCATAACTGACACACGTCCCCTCAAATTGCATATGACTCTCATGAACAGCACCTATCGAAGACCCAGGACCAAACGCCCTCTACCGTTCGAATACGATGGTATCCTTAAGCAGGCTGGTGTTCTGGAATGTTTTGGCGTGCAGGAGAGCGAGTATGCTAAGCTCCCGATGGCTGTTACGATGGGCTCGTACGAGGCGCCAAGAGTTCACCTCTGTGAGATGGGAAGCTGGGATACGGACGGTGCATACGTTAGTTGTGGCAGTGCGCCACTGTCAGCCAATCCGAGGTCCATGCCTTAAAGCTGCATATGTTAGCTCACCCCGTCCATTGTTCCTTTTCCTTGTCACTTGACTGAGAATATCACGCAGGACACCGCACGGCGAATTTGTATTCCTTTTTCATCCGAGCGCAAAGTCTTGACCATGTACTAGCTCGTCCATCCTCGATCCATGACATCGTCATGAATTAGACGCAACATCGACCACACAGAAATACCCTTTCGTATAATGTATGGCGTCTCAGCCCTTCTCACGCCTCCTGTTCATCCCACCATAAACTCGTTGCGCCAAGTAGCACGCCCTAAACTCATTGTTTGGATTTGAATCGAACGTCGCTCAACTTGGACAAGTTAACACTCGATGTAAGCTACCCTGCCCAACGCGTAAATGGCTGCGGCGGCTCAGCAACCCTTAGCTTTCAACTGCACCGGGACACATCCCCTCATTCTCCAGCCAAAATACTCGTCATAATCGATACCTCCAACGTCCATCGGTCTCTACCTTCCACCTTTGACCGTATTACACATCCCGCTCATCTAGCACAAGTCCTTGTCACTTCATCACTCGACCTACATTCCTCCTCTCGCTCTCCGTCCTTACAATCCCTCTTCAGACAGAGTTCTTGATTGACTCCCGAGTGATCATGCCTCTCCAGGTTTTGATGTACTGGGAAGGCTAGATCTGCTCCTGACAATCAAGTTATGCATTTTCATTGAAAACAAGAAACTCGTGTGACGGAGCTCAACTCCAATCTACTCCCTCCAGGTTCCAGCATCTTCTCTCCTTACACATTCCGACACTTTAATCTGTTCCTTCCATGTCCGTAGTCACTGATGGCCGGCGAAACACGTATCTGGTGTGCGGTCAGTACCATACAAGAGGTTTGCTCAAATGGGAGAGACGCTGGACTAGCAGAATGCAAAGGATGAGAGCGTTTCTTTCTTCGATGAAGCGTGCGTAAGTTTCCTGGTGCTAGATGTTCGTGAAGCGGGGAGATGGAGTTATAGCTGAAGGCGAAGATGCAACCTGGAGATGGCGGTGGGTCATATACTTGGCTGTACGGGTGTAACGTAAATTTCATACGTAGTGAGAAGTCTTCAACGAGAATTGATCCTGTGCAATAACAACGGAGAAGACAAAAGACCCATTATGCCGGATCCCAATCTACCATTCCGGTACGCCTGAGAAAGTGATGTGTCCCTGCGTCGAGTGAACGTATCCTGGTGACTGCAAGTTCGGGTTTCACTGATGGTTCGAGTGATACACTTGTTCGAGAGCATTAAAGGCTAAAGCTCGTCAGTTAGCCCACGGTACTTCTGCGGTTCACTTCATGCAAGCTTCACTCGACTCGGAACAATCGAACGTGTTCAGATCATGCCCAACACGAGACTCTGAGAAACAAATTCCACGGAGATCGATTTATTACCGAACTGATAATGATCGCCCATATCCGCCGGCGGTAATATGAGTCCCTTGTATTTCTTTAGGGAGAGTGCCTAGTCACCGGTAGCCTGATCAATTTCAAAGCACAGGAATCGGCCGATCGGATCGATCACTGATCTTTTCTTTTTCCATCGCGTCGAGTTGAAGATATTTTCGAGTAGGACTGACCGTTCTCTCCTTTTAGTTCCGTCTCTATCCTGTAATGAGTCTTAGGTGACTTGTTTTGTGATGCCTGAGCTTCAGCAATTGTGCAACCCGGAATCGCTAAGCTGCTGCAGCCTGCAGCCACCGAGCTGTGGTCATCGTTGCAGCTACGTGCAGTGTCACTGGCTTTGTTTCGTTATTTGAACTTACGCCTTGTCAGCAGGCCTTGACTACATTGTGCTGCGCGTTAATCACACCACGTAGGGACGGATTCTCGTGTATACATTTCAGGTGCCTTAATACCCAGCACGCGGCGATTTTTTGACCCCTTCTTCATACACCGGTCCAAATCGTGGGCCAGAAATGCCTTCTAAACATCAACCCGTTGCTCCGCCCATATGATCTATCGAGGTCATGATGAGCTTTGACGCCGGTATCATCACGACGAGGCTTCGCACGCTAAGCGAATGAATTGAATGCCGTCATGACCCTTGCTATCCCACGTCTTACGGCCCTTCTCACCGTCGTGGACCTACGGCCTGATCCCTCTGCTCCAGCGACCCCATTGTTCTTTTCTCGGATCCGCCGACTTGCGCTTTGAACACTTCCCCTTACCGGTATAGAGACTGTTGTTTTCTTTGAGGCGCTGCAAGTTTCTGGACTCCGTTGCATCGAAATAGTTCTCCCACAGGTAAGGAACTGTTTGCTTTGACGACAGCTGATCACACGATTCGCATCAGGTTTTTGTGAAGAACAACAGCCTCCTCAGAGTATACGTGGATACGAACATTTCGCGAGTGTTTTCTCTATGTACTTTAAAAAGCTTGTGGGAATTGCTGCAACGAGGCATAACGCGCAGGCGAAACACCCATCCTTACATCCCGCTCAATGTCGCCCATTACCTCCTCGACCAGTACAAAACATCGTTCCGCGTTGAGCGGCGATGACGGTAATGTTGTTTAAAAGCGCTCTTCTCTCAAAGACGACTCATTCGCTATTCTAGCCCTGAAAGATCTCTTCGCTCATCGACCGACCTTTACGAAGCGCCCCGGCTTCAGAGGTAGCCGAGATACTCGGGGGCCTGCACACTATGACATGCATCTTCATCCACAACTCATTCTCAAAGACATTGTCTACTTCCCTGATATGCTCGATCAACTATCTAAAGTCGTTGACACCAAAATCCAGGATTTCATTTCCAATTCGCGGACCAAAAGTCTGCCCCGCGTTTCCAGGACTAGCCCTTTGCATACAGACCGCATATCAGATGTACTCGGACACACCCAGACCTGGGTTATTGGGCACGAGGCTGACCTGCAGAGCGCCTACCCTCGTTTGGAACAGTATTCCACTTTGGTCGCTTCCACTCTTGTTTCCGGCTCTAAGACATGGTCATCTATCTTCCAGTACAACGAGAGACCCAGAATGTCCACCACTTGCGCTATAGCAGATGGCTATCTTTCTTTGAACAAAGACGCTATCGAAACTACCAATATTCCCACGGCACTCAAAGACAAACTCCAACTTGTCATCAAACAGGATCGATGGGATTTTCTGTTCTGGGAGTACAAAAGCATGAACGCTGGAAAGAGGGGTGTCATGCTGGCCATTGAGCGTATCAGAGGATCAGAGTTCTCTTGGGTTTCTTGCCCAAGGCATGAATCCTGTAAAAGCCAGTTTTGCCACAAGAAAGACAATCGATTCAAGTTCTCGGTTACTGGGTTCAAGACGGGCGTGGACGGTGATATCTTGGAGGACAGTCCCGACGATGATAACGGAGGTAAAAAGAAAACCGGCCTTAGCTTTTCGTTTGACAAGTCAAAAATCGACTGCTCTCTGCTAGCATCTGTCCCTGATACCAGGCGGTGGAAATTCAAGGGATCCGTATCGTCCAAAAAGAGGGCCAGGCCAGAATTGGACGTCGGAAACCGACATTCGAACGATGATGACGAGAGACAGGCCGGAGATGACATTGAAGATGAGGAAGAGGACAGTGTTCCTGGCACCACTAATGATGCTCTACCTTTCACCGAAGGAGATTATCTGACAGCCTTAAAAGTGATTCAACAGGTATTGCTCCTTTCTCTCCACCATCTCTTCGAATCTGATGGCGTGCGTGGCCTTAGATCTGGGCCGAAGCAGTCAACGTCGACGCTACGTTCATGGTTTTGAACTGCGGGAGCCTGGAGTATATTGGCATACGAGACCGCAAATTGC